TGTAACACTTTGCGATTTTTTGAGCGAACCCCCTTTGGACAACAGAGAATTTCTTTTTTGTTATAATTTTATCGGCTTCCCCCTGCCAAACACTCGCCGCATACAGGGTGATCCGCTCTATGACCGCTATATATATGGTTCTGATGATTTCAGGTTGGAGGCCCCAAGTCGTTTTTGCGGCTCTTTGGATTCCTTTAAATATGTTTAACGCTTTGCCGCAGATGTATTTTATATGGTTATTAAAAGTTAATTTTCTATCTATTATTAGGCCAAGAATTTTGATTTCATTTGTAATCTCTATTTGGACTCCCCCCATGGTCAGTATCGGCGTGTCGAATTTTAGCTTTTTTGTTATGATCATAGCTTTGGTCTTATGTGCTGCAAAGTTGAGCTTATTCGACTCGCCCCATCTCCTGACCAGGGAGAGTCCCATGTTGGCCTTATCCTGTACTGACTTGGAGTCTCCACCGTCCACCATCAATATGATGTCATCCGCGAATGCCTGGCAGTTAATGTTGGCGTCGGTGAGCTCGTTCAGGAGAGGATCCAGCAAGATGTTCCAAAATAAGGGGCCCCCTATGGACCCCTGTACGCAACCTTTGTTGGTGGGTTTGCTGAACTCCTCTCCCGCGTATCTCACCGTCACCATTCTATTGTTAAGATAACTACTAACTAAGTTTCTGAGGTTTCTTGGGCAGTTCATGCTTTTTAATTGGTAACGGATTCGCGGCCACCACGCATTATCGAAGGCCCCCTCTATATCCAGCGAGATCAGGGCCACTATTCTCTTCTCCGCCACTTTGCCTCTGATCTGCTGGACCATGTCGTAGAGGGAGTCCTCCGTCCCGCGCTGCGGCATGAACCCGTACTGCCTCACGTTTAATTTGGGTAATATATGCCATTTTAATCGACGCACTAACATTTTTTCAAATATTTTTCCTAATACTGGCAGCAAACCTATTGGCCTGTATGACTTGGGTTCCTGGTAGTTGTCTTTGCCGGGTTTCCTTAACATTATTATTGTCGCTTTTTTCCATGCGTTCGGGAAGTGGGCTAGGGCTAGGCATTTGTTGAACATCGCGAGAGCTAGTTCGCTGTCTGCTTTAACAGTCGCTGCGCATATGTCGGCTGTGAAACCATCTCCACCCGGTGCCTTTTTCGGGTTGAACGAGTCCACGGCGTGCATCAGCTCGGCTTCCACGAATGGGGGGTCATGAACATCATGTTCATCTCCCTCATTCGCTTCCGCCGCGCCGACTCGCACTGCTCTGTGGACTTCGCTTTCCCCTACTTCGGTGTCATCCGGGTAGAAGGTCTCAGCCATTATGCGCACCGACTGTTTGGGGCTGGTGGTGATGCCCCCTCTCGCGATTGGTTGATCTTCTCCCTGTGCTCTTGTTCTGCCTATCACCCTGTATATACCCCCCCACATGGTTTCCCGGTTTTGTTTCTGGCAGAACTCCTTCCAACTCTTCACCCTGGCTACATTCATCTCTCTTTCATACTTTTCTTTTGCATCCATATATTGCTCGACTACCCATGTTTTGCGACTCGGTGCTGCCCATTTTATTCTCCTTTTTAGTTTGTTCTTTTCTTTCTTCATTCTCTCAAGCTCGTCGGACCACCACACAATCTTTATTTTACTATTTGTCTTTTTTGGTTTTATATGTTTATCACAGTTTATTTCTATTGATTTGGTATATTTATTTATTACTAGTTCTAATTGATCTATATCTACTATTTTATCTATTTCTATTTTGTTTATGTTATTTTCTTTAAATAAATCTTGTATTCCTTTTTTATAATCTGTCCAATTTGTTTTTAATGTGTTATATTTCCTAGTGGTTTTGTTGTTTATGTTGCCATTCATTTTGTTATTTCCCAGTTTTATTTTAAAAGAGATTGTGTTGTGGTCCGACGTTGTCACTCCATCCATCACCTTCCAGTCTAGCACCTTGTCCAGCATGTCTGTCGAGCAATAGGTCACGTCCACACAGCTCTTGTATTCCTTCCCTCTTCGCCAGGTCTGGAAGGTTGGTCTGCTTCCTTCGTTTAAGACGTGGAATCCCAAGTCATTAATTGTTCCTAGCATCTCCTCCCCCCTGTCATCACTACGTACGCTTCCCCACCACTCGCTCCACGCGTTGGCGTCCCCTCCTATGATAATCCTATCTGTTCCCAATTTCTCTATGGCGCGTTTTACCTGAACCATATACGGGCCTATGTCTTTGTAGTAAGAGATCACTCCGACTTCCCATTCTTGTGTTATGATCTTTATTGCTACTATATTTGTAGTTATGAGGTCGGGAAATTGTTGGATTTTTATGTTCATGTTGAAGACGGCTATCGCCGCCTTGTTCACTTTCCCGACCTCTTGTGCAGCCTGGTAGAATCTAACCCCGGTGTGACCTCCCACTACTCCCGCGTTTCCCGTATACGGTTCCTGCACCAGCACCATAAAGGATTTCATTTTGGCAGCCTCCAGGAGCAGCTCGCTTGTGGCGTTTCTGCTCCTTTGGAGGTTTGCCTGGAGGACGCCGTATATCTCATCTCCCTCTCTTGTCCTGTCTGTCACCACCTTAGCAATACGCTATTCTGGATCTTGCTATTCTTTCCCACGATAGCGTTTGCGGGCAATCGGGGCTGAAGGCGTTGTGATGTTTTTCTTTATTTCCTATCTTCTTGCAATTTATGCATTCAGGGGCACTATTCTTATTGGGGCACACTGTGAATAGATGGTCTCCCCCGCAGTGGCAGCAACTGTCCGACGGCTCCTGGCAGACCCGCTTGATGTGGCCGAAGCCCAAGCAGCGGGAGCATCGGATAATCGGGGACTGATCCTCTACACGGGATAAACCCCATTGCAGTTGGATAGTCCCCGCCTCTGTCAGTTGCCGCCATACTACGGGTGCCACCTTTAGTACCAGAACTTGCTGGCTTGCAGCTTGTACACTCTGTAACTTCTGTAAAAAAGATGTTGCTGCTGCAAAATTTTTGGGCTAAATTTACTCTATGGTTTGGGTTAGTATAATAAGTGAGCACTCCCCGGAATCGTACGCGACACACACGATTATTACATGTTCCACATCGCCATACTAATTATGGACAAAACGCTGTATTCACCAGACTCCCACGCATTGTCAATAAACAATTTTTTGATTTGTTTATTGGATCTAAGAACCTTTTTCTTGCCAATATTAAGCGATATCTGTGCGGTGACTGTAGTTTGTTGGAATGAATTTAATTGGAGATGTAGTAAATTAACCCCATTTAGCATTGTTGTAGGTACAAATCCAGACTATTATAGTATAGTACAAAGAGACTCTGCTCTTTGTCCATAATTTAGAGGCAGGGGTTATGAAGGGGCCGGGGTCCCCGCGATACCCCGGGAGACCCCTGCCGTGGAGCCCCGGCAAGGCCGGGAGGCTGCTAGGTGCGGAGACGCGGAAGAATCCCTAAACGGGGATCCCGCGGCTTCGCACTAAGCAGCTTAGAGGGTGTTCGCAGGGTTTTTAGCGGATATTATGCCGTAAAGCGCCCGTAAGGGTTACGGGGTCCTCAGTGGGCAGCCACTGCTGGGGCTCGTAAGGCTTGCGGGAGCCAGGTGTGAGGTCCGTTCGGCGGTGTGCCTCTTAAAGGCGCCGTCGTCTGTAAATAGTATTTTAAGCCTGCGTATATAAAAAAAGGGGTTATGAAGGGGCAACTGCAACTTGTTTTTACCTTATGTTATATTAAATGCACGATTACCCTCATATTTATATACTCATATAATTTTTTATTTTTTATTTATATGTATTTATGTATAAATACCTGATTATATTTAGGTGTAGACATATGTATTTTTATGTTAATGTTAAATTGGTTTTCCTTGAGCACATAGGTACATATTCAGATGGATTCGATGTTACAAAGTGGATAATCTTATTTGGCCTCCAAAATTTTTAAAATATTTTTTATGTAGAAATATGTCGAGCTGTGATTGTCTTTACAATAAATAAATAAATAAAGTATATATAATGAAAATTTAATGTGATTTAACTAAGAATAGGATCGACTGGGCGCCATTTTGTAATGTCATAGCTGTCAATTGAAACAAAATAGGTAGAGTGAGCAATAAAATATTTTTTCTTCGATAAAACTTATTTACTAAGATTAAGTGAGAAAAAACATCAGGTTTTTTTAAAATAAAACTTATTTACTAAGATTACGTGAGAAAACACATCAGATTTTATTAATAAAATTTATTTACTAAGATTGAGAAAAAAAAACACCGATTTTTAATAACATTTAAGACTGTGACTGTGACTGTGCGTAACTACCGGAGTTGTCATCGTTGTCATGTTTGTTTACAAATGTTTGGTTTTTGAAGTTATACTTCTTTAGGCGCGTTATGAAAAAATGATGAGAGTGAAATTTTAAGATGCGCGCGCATCACTGTAACACAAAAATTAACAGCATGAAGTTGGTCGCTTTAGCGACTCTCTTGACCATTGGTGTAGTAGAACCAAAAACCACATCTTTATTTTTTGTAATAAAGTAACTGTTATAGGTATTCATATTTATAATATTTATCCACATGTTTCTAGTTTGTATATTCGGAATACGTGTTTGAGTTTCATACAAGTGCAAATCACATATGTTCTAATAAATTATATTCAGTAGCGATTTTAATTGAATATTTTGATTATTTATTTATTTTTTCAAATTAAAACTGAACTTTATTGACTGTGTCCTTTTCCAGACTTTTTATTAATTTATTGTAATTAATTATTTGCATGCAATTAAAAACTAATTTTAAACGATGCCAACGAAGGATAACTTCTCACGCGCCTACATAAGTACACGCACCCATTTTTTTTATTCTAGAATTAGATGAGTGCTAAAAAAGAGTTCCAAGATTTTTTGCAAACCGTACTTTTCAAGCGTCATTTGACAGATGGAGGTCATTGGCTTTCCTATTCTTATTTGAATCGCATTATACACTCAGTTTCAGATAAACAATGCTACTGTACATATTAGCGTTGCTTTTCTTGGGATGGTTTTACATGAAATGGACGAATGTGAAGCGGTACTGGGCGGCGCGCGGAGTGCCGCATCAGCCACCAAACATCCTGCTGGGCAGCCTCACGTTCCTGATGAAAGTCAACCCGGTAAGCTACATTCCTTTTCCACCGTATCAACTCGTGTATCCCCCACGACAACGGCTAGCTGGAGCCGAGGTCCTCGGACCTAATTCGTAGACTCGTCTCAGAGAAGCCCTCTAGATGAGCCGATCCCCTCATGTTCGAGTGGTCTAGAGGCTCCAGACAGAGAGGAGATCCTCCCCGTGGGGAGATGCCATCCGCCTGGAATACCTCTAGAGGCACTCGCCAATTCTCAGCTTGAGGTCCCCTTAGGATCACGTCGTCCCCAAACCCGGTGACGCTGTAAAGGTGATCTGCGACCAAAAGCATACTTGAAACCCCCACGCACGCATAAGCTCATGTCTCGAGGCCAGGCGATTACGTCACGATTCGTGTGCGTTGTATGCAGTAGGGAGTTTCATACGAAGAATACTGAACAGCTCGTCTCGATACGGCGATGGTCCTTTTGCTATTTGATATGTCTACTACGACTGTCTACTTATGTCTACTTAGACTTAAAACAATATATGAAACTGCTATTTTTATTTTAAGTGTTATAATAATAAATAAATATTTCCAACACTCACACCAATTAGCCTAGCCCCAAAGTAAGCACTGTAAGGCTTGTGTTATGGGATGCTAGGGTAACGGATAGAATATATATACTGTACATATATAAGTATAGTTATATAGAAATACATATTAAACATCCATGACTGGAGTACAAATGCTCGTATTCATCACACAAACATCCGCCCCTACCGTAAGTGTTTCATTTGGCATTGTGGTTTACCTACAATGCGAAGAAATGGAACTGCCTTGCCGCTTAAGAAATCTAGAAGAAATTCGACAGGGCCGTTAAGGATTCGGTAGCATATTTTGTTAGTGCGTCCGCCCGGATAGCCGAAGATGTGGGTACAATTCTCGTCTGTAACCTGGACCAGTGAAATTTTCTAAAAAAAAATCTTTAGATTTAAACATCTGAAGGGCGATTCTGTAAAATAAAATCTCACTTCCGAATGCAGTAACTGCCATTTGAGACATTAGTTTGATAATATGCATTACGCCATTACAAGGAAAAATGTCGCTATGGCTGTTGAAGCAGCCAGTATTAGATATTTGACATTTGTCAGATATCCAAATAACTGAGATCGTAAGTGAGAATGCATCTTACAGAATGCCTATGCAGTAGTCAAATGCTTAAAAATATTAATATAAACGCAAACTCTTCGCATTGTAGGAAGATCTGAAACCTGATGAAGTTCATAAGATTTATGATGGCATAGAGTTGACGTTCACATTAGTTTCTAACAGCCTAGGCTGAATAAATAATTATGATTATGTTGCAAAATCGTATAGAATGCTACGTTTCATCATGCGTATTGGAAAGGAATTCCGTTGCGCATCTACTTTGATATTACTGTATAATGCATTTGTGAGACCACACCTTGAATATGCCTCTTGTGTATGGAATCCACAGTATAATACATACATTGATGCTATTGAAAGAATTCAACGCAAATTTGTAAAGTACTTAGAAAACAGAATTAATGTTAACTTGATTATTAATGATTGTAAAGCAAAGTTACAGGTTACATTCTTGCAACATCGCAGAACTGTTAGAGATCAATTATTTCTTTACAAACTTATTAACGACTTTGTAGATTCGCCGTTCCTTTTGCAGAGGATTAGTTTCCATTGTCCAAATAGAACTAGGTCTGACAACACGTTTGTAATACAATTCAGCAGGACCAAGTTTGCTGCAAATAGTTTCATTTCTAGAGCATGTCACAGCTATAATAAATACTTCAGGGGATTGGATATATTTTGCCTTTCTTACAATCAATTTCGTTTTACCCTAACACTTAGTAATTATTTTCTTACCATAAATTTTGAATATCATGTTTATTCTATTAACTAACTCTAAATATTGTACGTAATCTTAAGTAAATTATGTAAGTGTATGAATGTTTCAGTCTGTGGAAACTTAACTGGTTTATGAAAAAGTAATAAGTGTTACTTAATTGAATTGCGTAAAACTGTATGTTTCCCAAATGAAAATAAATAAAATATATAAATGGTTTTACAAATCTAGCAGTTACCTAAATGCTTTAACCTAGTCTAGCTCATTCCCGTTGTTTCTTATATCTCGTGATCTCATTAGCTCTAATGCTTCATGTGGTTTTCCAAAATTACTCAGGCGATGTGGATGCGTGAGATGTACGATCGCTACCCCAAGACTCCATACGTAGGCATCTGGTTGTTTTGGAGACCAGCACTCATCGTCAACTCGCCGGAGTTGGCCCGCAGGATCCTCGTCAAAGACTTCGACGCCTTCAGGAACAGGCTGATTGGCACCGGCACTGGGAAGATGGACCCAATGGGAGGTTTAAATATTTTTACACTGAACGTAAGTGCTACAATTTTGTATAACGATCTTTCTGGTTTGTCTTCATGTTTTTAATTTTAGAGATCAGTGTATCCCTAGCGCGAACCACTATCGAATTCGAATAGTTTGCAAACCGAATGTCAATGTCAAATTTTGTATGAGGACTAAAATACACATTTGACAATGACATTTCGGACTCGCAAACGATACGAATTCGATATTGGTTCATGCTAGGAGTACTGTACATTTTGTTGTTTTCAATTTGAAAGAGATATTTATTGATATGAGACGAATTGATTGAATTTGATGTTATCTAGTAGCTTAGTGGTAATTTATGCATTTAGTTTACCAGTATCACAGGTTCTTTCCACCTTTTCATTAGAGAGCATTCTTTATTTCAGTGATATTCTATGCATGACTTGCAACCTTTAGTTGCACCCACTTACTTTAACTGTCATTAACCGACTTCAAAAAAGGAGGAGGCTATGTGTTTGACTGTATATATATTTTATGTATACCGATTTCTCCGCCATTTGTGGACCGATTTCCTTAATTCTTTTTTTATTCGAAAGAGTGCACTTCCGAGGTGGTCTCGTTGGAACCAATTCAGGATGATGATCTAGTGGAATTCTGTAAAATCGAGAGAAACCTTCTTATAAAAATTATTAGTACTTGGACGATGTAATTTTCACGATACTTTGTTTATATGTACACCGATTACTTAAATATTTCTGGTCCAATTTGAGTGATTCTTCTTTTGTTCAATTGGAGATACTTGACGTTTGGTTCCATGAAAAAAAAATTTTTTTATACTAATATTTAATGAGCATTTTTGTTTACTTGGACGATGTAATTATCACTAAAATTGATGAAATAATTTTTTTTAAACAAAAAATAAATCAGACTACAAAATCGAAAATGGAACTAAAAAGTATAAAATAATATCTGGTTCATGATTTGGAAGTTGGGCGGGTCAAGATTGAAACATTAAATAGATTTTCGTTTCTGATCGGTAATAATACGTCTTTCAATCTTACTTATTTTTTACTTTTTAGTTCCATTATCGATTTTGAAGTCGGTTTTATTTTTTGTTTCTTTTTTTTATATTTTCATGTCAAAGACATAGTAGAATTTAACTAGCTCCGTGGTGCAACTCACACTACGTCTTTGAAATAAACTGTTTCAGAAATTACTGATTCAATATGTCCGCTGAGCATCAGACGCATAGAGATAGAGAGTTTATTTATTTAATTAAAATTTGTAAGCACCTCTCACAATTATATTATCCTGAAAAGATGGTGACAGCATGAAAGATTTTTGCTGTTATCAGTATTTATAGGGATTAATTATACAGATTAACTTTAAATTTGATAGCAGTGTATCCTTGTCATTCTCTATACAGAATGAATACGAGAGACTGATGTTCAATTTAGTTTTAAGTTTAGAGATTTTTAGAGATACGGGGAAATCGACACCGTTATCTACGAGAAAGTTAGCAGTTATATTTTTTTTGGGTTTTAGGGCCACTGGCACCGAAATTCTTAATTGAGTTCCTAACAGCGATAATAAATACGTCATCCCATCTTCGTAAATGTTTGAAAGTCAAATAGAGATGGAATAAGGTATAAACATGATTTATTTTTTTTACACAGAACGGGTTATAATAGTGCAGAGTCATTCATTTCCTTTTGTCGGTTTCTCAATTTGTATTTTTTTTATAAAAAGGTCCGACAAATAACTTCACCCCACCTGATCTTAAGTGAAGGTGAAGTCCAGACGCGAAGATAGCTGATACAGCAGTTCTACCTGCCACACCAGCCATCCTCACCCTGCCGGCCTGCATGTTGCTTCTTTACGCCTCTGTAAAAGGATCCCAGGTTGTAAGAGGGAGGGAACACGTGAGCGGGCAGAGCATTCCATTTACGGATAGTGCGACAAAGAAATGAGTCACCAAATTTCTTTGTACGCGTTGGAATTGTGGCCACAGTTAGACGGTGACAACGTAGGCCAGCGCGCGTGGTCCTCTGAAGGAAAGGAGAGGGTGGGATAAGAGAGAATAACTACTCGGAACACTCGCCATGGTACAGACGATAGAACGCGCTTAGTGACGCCACGTCACGGCGTAATTAAAGAAGCTCAAGGTGGTTTGTGTAAATATCGCAGTTGTTTATTTCAACAGGATCCTTTATGGACAACTCTCAGACGTCGGCTCACCCCTGTGTTCACATCCTCTAAATTGAAATCGTTGCACAACCTTTTTGCTACCAAGGGTAAAGAACTGGTACAGAGAATCGATAACAGCATTAAGGCTAACAAGCCTTTGGAACTTAGGGTAAATATATATTTTTTTATTTAAAAAGATTGCATTTACAAAGTAAAAATTAGTTGCAATTTCAAATTTCTTAGAAAACAAAACGGGTTGCAAAGAAACAAGCAATATTCAAACTGATACCTTGGCCATGTTGGACTTAAAATCTTTTTTTTTTTAGATAATATTAAATTAAATCAGTTTATTGCCATTGGATGCAAGTCTTCACAAGTTCCAAATTTCTGTTTTCAGAGTCTGTATGCCGATTACACCACAGATGTTATTGGGACAGCCGCTTTCGGTATCCAGTGTGATGCAACGATGACTGGTGAAAGCGTTCTGAGGACTGTTACTAAAGACTTCATGAAGTTCAGTATTATGAGAGGGCTCGCTTGGAGCAGCATCTTCTTTATTCCGGAGTGCGCCAATTTTTTCGGGTATGTGTGCTGATAGTTCATATGTTTTTACTAAATTTATACTAGGCGTTAAATAAAACACTTTAAGATATTTGGGAATGTTTAGCCGCTTCTTCCCACTAACGGAATGGAATAATAAAACGGCGATACGTCAACTTATCAGCAATATATTTGGAAAATATTCACAATTATAAAAATACAATACGTATGGACGAAATTTTCTTCTGAAGTCTCTTTTTACAATGACAATTCAAAATCCAAAAGAAAATATCAAAAAGAACATAATGATAATAAACTTAATTTCTAATGTGCCAGTGCCTACGGAATGTCCATAGACACTGGCTGTATGGCGACATGGACAAACTTTTATGCGGTGCAAAGTCGCCACAGATATTTTTCATGGTTTCGTATTGCCTAAGAAAACTTATTATTAAAAGACTAATGTCCCTTCGTCTGTCAGCGGGTTTTATCTTATGCACCGTAAAAGGTTTACGGATCAGGAGATACGACAGTAAATAAAATAAAAATTAGATCCTTTGGTGGCGATGCTACTTAGTAGGCAGCTGTGCGTATTTGTAAATTAAATTTAATTCACACACATGTGACGTTGACATTACAAGACCATTGTGGCGACTTTGCACCGCATAAAAGTTGGTCCATGTCGCCATACAGCCAGTGTCTATGGACATTCCGTAGGCTCTGGCACATTAGAAAATAAGTTTTTAATTATGATCTTTTTATATAATTGCTGTTTGATTTATAAGTTGTCATTGGGTCATTCTAAAAAAAGACTTCAGAAGAAAATTTCGTCCATACGTATTGTATTTTTATAATTGTGAATATTTTCCAAATATAGTGCTGATAAGTTGACTTATCGCCGTTTTATTATTCCATTCCGCTAGTGGGGAGCAGCGGTTAAACATTCCCAAACCATAATGGCTGTCTAGCTATCATGCCTCGAATCAAATCTGTCAAGGGAGCATCGAACTCATACACCCACGTATTTCCTTTACAGTTTCAAATTCTTCCCTAAACATTCAGAAGACATATTCAGGAGAGTGTACAAAAAGATAGTATCTCAAAGAGGTGGCTACACCAATGTGGCACAAGAGAACGATCTCCTCGATGCGCTTCGCAAAATCAAATACGAAGCGGACATAAATAATGAAGGTATTTACTAACGTCAATTAAACCAATTTGAAGTTTAATACCAGTACTTATACGAGGATGGCGCAGGTGGGTAGCGCGTTCGGCCGCGGTCGCTGAAGTTAAGCAACTTTCGCAGTGGTCGGTCATTGGATGGGTGACCAAAAACATATATCTCGAGTTCCTCCATGCTTCGGAAGGCATGTTAAGCCGTTAGTCCCGGCCGCATCTGCAGTCGTTAGAACCCGCCAATCCGCACAGGGCCCGCGTGGTGGGTCATGGCCCAACCTCCCTATTCCATCCATAGAGATGGCCTGTGCTCCAGCAGTGGGGACATTAAGAGGCTGATGATGATGCTGATGATGATGACTTATACGAGATCTGAATAATTTGTATGATGTACTGCAATGGGCTTGATTCTGACATGATCTTCTAAACTTAATACTTACAAAATTTTACAACAGTCTCTCCTTTTCATCCTTATGCATGACAAGAATACACTCATGCCACAATCGGGTACAAAACTCCATTTGCCTCGGTCACGCTATACAGGGTGTTACAAAAATACAAATAAAGCTTGAAGGGCGATGAAGTACATCATATATAAATATCCTCTCTAATTTTCTTAAAATATTTGCATGAAGTTTTAACTTTTTATAAAAACAGATATTTTTAATGATCCTCGTACTAGTGAAGTGTCTTAAAATGATCGATATTTTTATTAATCATTAAAAATAACTGTCTTTATAAAAAGTTAAAACTTCATGCAAAAATTTTAAGAAAATTAGAGAAGACTCCTTATACGATGTACTTCAACCCCCTTCAAGCTTTGTTTGCAACATCCTTATTTTTGTAACATCCTGTATTTAAGAGAGACAATGGTATCGATTCTGACATGATTCTCTAAACCTAAACTTAAATTTGGCATCAGTGCATCCTTGTCATTCTCTATACAGAATGATAAGGAAAGACTGATGTTAAATTTAGTTTTAAGTTTAGAGAATCACGTCAGAATTGGCACCTATATCGATTCCAATCATCTCTTAATTTATCAGGACCACGCCTGGCGGCTCAGCTTATTTTATAAGTTTTATTCGTATTGAATAGGGATGATGACTAATTTTTTTCTTCTTCGTTTACCAGGTAGATTATCAAAAAGTATTGGACACGTATTTTTTCCTTTTTCACATAATATAAACATTGCAGAGATATATTGATTTGAAAAGTCGCATGACGTCACGTTTAAGCGAATATTCACTAAAAAGTGACGTCACTAAGTCACTAACCCCTACTCCCAAACTTTGACGCGCTATAACTTTGTAATTTTTTGGTTGATTGCCCAAAGAAAAAATACGTGTCCATTATTTTTTGATCATCTAACTGACGGACTAAATAGACTTTCGTTTACTGTACCCCGTCATCACCCCTATTATTAAAAACTTATCAGTACCCCTAGCACGAACCATTATCGAATTCGAATAGTTTGCAAACCGAAATGTCAATGTCAAATTTTGTATGGAAACTTGAACAGCAGCGGCACAAAGTACGTAACGAGAACTAAAAATCAGTACAGATTTAACAATGACATTTCGGACTCGCAAACGATACGAATTCGATATTGGTTAGTGCTAGGGGTACAGATCTATTAATATATTTTTGTTACACAGATATGGATGAAGACTTGATGATCGCTCAGGCTTGTATCTTTCTTCAGGGTGGATTTGATACTTCAGCCTCCACACTTACTTTCCTTACTAGCGAATTGGCTTACAGACCAGAAATGCAGGCGAGTTCTTTCACTTTTACCAAAAGCCTGAGACTAATCTACTTTGTCTTAAGGTGCCTTACCTTCAAACAAAGCAAACATCCTTGTTTCTTAGGTTTTCACGCACATCACTCATTAAATAAAACTAGTTTTTACTTTATTTATTTATTGACGTTTCGCAGCCTTTTCAGGTCTGCATCGTCAGAATAATGATTTTTTATTTAAAATTGTCGAGCTACCTTCGAAAGACTTATATTGAGCGTTCGGTTATTTCATTGGAAGATTTTTATAATTTTATTGTCGTTGTATGAATTTATTATTTAATTTACTTAATAAAGTATTTTATTTAAAATTCTTGTTTGTAATTTTGAGTTTATTTATTTGACCCTAACTACCGTAAACTACCACCGGTTCCAAAATTGGGAGACCTTCCTGAGAAGAACCGGCGAAACAAACTCAAGAGAGGCTTTCTATCTCCTTCTTATGTTAAATTATGCAAACAAAAAGAACTAATAGTATCTGATGATCTTGCAGTGTGTGGTCAGGGTTGGGATTTTATCTCCTGTATAATAGGTCTGTCAATAAATAAATAAAGTTTCGTGCATTAACCCGTAAAAACTAGTTTTATTTAAAGCAAACATCCACTGAAATTGAGACAAATTCTTAAACATGATTTTTTTGGGTTCCGTAGCCTGACAAGGAACCCGTATAGTTCCGTCATCTCCGTCTATGCGTCCCCGGTTTTGCTTGGAGACTAATAGCACTAAAGAGCTATAATTTTGTGGAGATAAATATATTGATCACACCGACAAAATGGTAGAATAAAATTTTGAAAAATGTTTGTTTTTAGAATAGCATCAAAAAAATTATTATAAAAAAAAAATATCATCATCTACCCCATCGTGTGGGGGATCGTTGAATAGGTCCTTTCAAATTTTTAAGAGGTTTTTTTAATTCAGGGATCCGTTGGCGAAATATAGAACTTTAAAGTACAAATTTTTGTTCGAGTAGGGCGTCCCGCCTCCTCTAAAAGCTAAACTGTTGGCTTGAAAAACCTGGAAAAAAACATAATAACAGTGCTTTCCATGAACTTTAAAGGAAAATTATAACCGTTAAGATCTTTGTTACTATAAGTGTAATAGTTGTATAACTTTGGTTAAAGAAAAATTCTTACCTATTGGAAATTCCTTTGAAGAAAATATTAATACTGACATAGATGAAGTTATTGTAGCGTAAACCCTTGTATTGTAACGAAATTAAAAAAAAGAAAATATTTAAAAACCGCCTTAAAATATCATTAGTTCCACAACACTACCGCGATTACCAACGGCAACGGCTTCTGAATCGCGCTAACCTTTCATTTTTATAAAAAGTATATAAGCACTTGAAAAGATCGGCGGTTATACCGCATCATCTCTATCTCAGGGGATGATCGTGTCTGATGAAGCTTATAAAGCCTTTCGGTAAAGAAAGCCCTTCCGGTCATAAGCATGAACTACGGGTGTGTTTTAGTCAGAAGGAGGCTGACATAACCTTGCAACCGGCTGTAGGGTATTCATGAGGATTTCACACCCGCACCTCCGCCTGGGATAAAACAAAAAAAAAGGCGGGTATTTAAAAAAAATATCGTAGTTAATATCGTTTTGAGTTTGAGACGCAGTTTGACTTTGATTTGGGTATTTTAGTTGAGATATATAGATTGATATTAATTGTTTTTTTTCATTTCCGATATGGATAATAAAGACTCCTGCTCAAATATATTGTGGTAACTACAGGCTACTACGGAACCCTACACTGCGCATGGCACGACACGGACTTGGCCAATTTTTTATTATTAATTAATTAATGTTGAACTTTAATGAACTTTAAATCTAAAGAAAATATAACTAGAAAAAATTCCACGCGGACCAGGCAGCAGACGGGACTCGAACCCGCACCCTTCGCGATCCGGGCGAATGCACTAACCAATTATGCTACCGCGGCCCTCGCGGACCGCGTCGAAATTCTTCTAGCCATTCTTAAGCTGCAAGGCAGCGCCATCTCTTCGCATTATAGGTAACCCACAATCAGTGGTCAATGCATTCGCCCGGATTGCGAAGCGGGTTCGAGTCCCGTCTGCTGCCTGGTCCGCTGGGGATTTTTTTCCAGCTATATTTTCTTTAAATTTAAACATCAAGCAGTTACATGCTTTAAAAATAATAAAAATTATAACTTTAATGAACTTTGCAGGAAAAGCTTTACCAAGAATTACTGGAAGCCAAACAACGACTTGGTGACAATGATTTCGATGCCAATGTGTACAGTAAACTCGTATATTTAAATTGTGTCATCAAAGGTAATTTTTGTTATTAAATTTACTATCTGCATTATAATTTCTAATCTTATTAACTGGAAGGCATAAATGTGCCCCTTCCTTTTATTGCTGGTATTAGATATTACTGTTTTATATAATGTTTCGTTAGGTATGTTATTCATACGAGAGACATGCGCATATTGATGACAGAAATAATGACGATATTAGCCTAGAGTTTATAAATGGATAACACTTTATTATCACACCACATACTGTGACAATTCATTATTTGTCATCAAATTTATCTATCTATATTTACTCTGCGTATCTGGTGGACAGAACAGAATTTAGTTTCTCTGTTTGTGGTATCCGGGGACTGCTGAGCTTTCTGGAGGAGCTGGGATGGCAGGACTGATGCCAATCCTCAAGCAAAATAGTCACTGGGTGTTGAGTTGCGGAAACAGCCCGCCGTACTACTACTAAGACTTGTGGTATCTAGTCATCAAAATTGTTTAGAATTAACCAGACCAGCCCCCCTAGCTTCAGCACCACGATATGATATACAGGTGTTACAAAAATACAAATAAAGCTTGAAGGGCGTTGAAGTACATCATATAAGGAGTCTTCTCTAATCTTCTTAAAATATTTGCATGAAGTTTTAACTTTTTATAAAAAAGGTTATTTTTAATGATCCTCGAACTAGTGACGTGTCTTAAAATCATCGATATTTTTATTAATCATTAAAAATAACTGTTTTTTTGAAAAAGTTAAAACTTCATGCAAATATTTAAGGAAATTAGAGAAGACTCCTTGTATGATGTACTTCAACGCCCTTCAAGCTTTATTTGTATTTTTGTAACACCCTGTATAATACGTTTTTATCACACTCAATTTTGAAATCACTATGGAGTACGAGAGAGAGAGAGAGAAAGAGAGAGAGAGAGAGTGAGAGAGAGAGAGAGAGAGAGAGAGAGAGAGAGAGAGAGAGAGAGAGAGAGAGAGAGAGAGAGCGCGAGAGAGAACCATTTATTGACCAATAAAACACAAACATATAAATTATAAACTGATAATAAAAAAACATATATAGAAAGTAAGCATTACAAACATTTATAAACTTAACAGTCATCATATTGGTCAACCAGGACCCTGCCTCAGCATAATGCTGCCGTGACATGTAACTAAACGTGTCACGACAACGCTGGTATTCTGACAGGGCCTGTATGGTGCACGGTGTTTCGGTATACAAATAACAATATAATAAATTTAATAAAGAATACGAATAGATTTATAATTAGATTTATAGTGCTAAGTGCAAAAATGAACAGATTCTAAAAAGACGAGTATGACAGTCAGACGCGATAAAAACGTGATATAATGTAAATTGCAGTAAATTAATCTGAAGTCCACTTTCATTCTGCTATTTCAGAGACGTTGAGAAAGTACCCACCAATGGGGTGGTTGGACAGAGTCGCCGATAGGGATTACAGGATCGACGACAACCTCACCATCACCAAGGGCACGCCCGTCTACTTGAACGGGTTGGGGATGCAGCACGACCCGGACTACTACCCGGAACCGGATACGTTCGACCCGGACCGGTTCCTGCCGGAGAACGACGACGGCACCAGACCGTACATGCCGTTCGGAGAAGGACCAAGGAATTGTATAGGTAATGTCGTAATATTTTACACTTTTGGGTTTCAATGGCCGCACTAGGCGTCGGCGACCTCGGCCGCCGCCGACGGCCTAGCCTGAGGGGGCCTCGCAAAAAATTTTTACAAGTTACCTATTTATTTTCGTTTCTCCTGGCTTAGCTTAGGTAGCCGACCCCGAACAATTCGGTGAAAAAGCTAAGCAGATGATAATGACTTTATTATTTTCGAACTCGTGCGTGATGGAAGCGAGTAGTACTTTACGGGTATTCAGAATCGTCTGTCTGGCAACACTATTTTTGTAATTAAATTTCTATGTTTGTAATTATTTTGTGTCATCATTTGATTATCAACAATAAAACTCGTTTACTCATACGTTATTTTATAATTTGGCTCACTTAATTTAACGGTTTTTTACTACGAATTAAAATAGGCCTCGCGAACTTGATGGCGCCGACGTCCCCATGTGGTCTAGCGCCGCCACTGTTGGGTTTAGCAATGCATCAACGTTTTGATACGATGATGGATCGTCGTCAATAAAGTATCATTATTAATTATATCTCCAGATATAAATAATGACATTTCAATGACTTAATAATATTGTTTCTGGTTAGGCGTAAGGTGTTGACCACGACGATACTTGATGATATTGTTGCGTGTCAGGATGGGGTTCGAAATTATATGCCAGTTAATGCTTGACAGTTCTTTATTCACCACACAGTTCACACAATTAACACACAATGTTAATTACAAATCACTCACTAAACACTGTATTTCACTATACAAGTCTCTAAACAATCTCACTTGAACACTTTTGTTGCACTTTGATCGCCTTTGGATTCGCTCCGAAATCGCTGTTGAAACTCAACTGTCTCTGCGCGGCGCCAAACGCGCTTATATACGCCGATCGACGCATTCTAGAAAGTACCTGTTAAATTGAGAATTAGCTAGCACCCGCGAGTACGAAATACCTACTTATACCTACGCAGGTAACGCGCATAACTTGTAAACAAGTGCAGATGTCGTTGCACTTTCTCCCTTATGCCGCACTGTTTAAGGCTCATTTTAGAATGCCGCCTTACTCGACCTCTATCGCGACCCGCGGTGATCTGGCAAATTCGATCTCTAGCACTTTCACGGTTACGTTTCGAGAGCGTTTGTGACAATATGATGATGATGATGATGATAATCATCAGACTATTAATTTTTTCAACAAATATTGTTGTTGCAGGTATGCGTTTTGCTCATCGCACTGTTTGGTATGCCTTTGCTTCTATTATGATGAAGTACCGGTTGCAGCCGATCCCGGGCAAAGAAATGCCAATAACATGTAAGGTTGAGAACAAGTCTATGTTCTTAGTGCCGGGAGGACCATCGTTCGTTCAATTTGTGCCTAGATCGTAACAATAAAATATATAGAGTTTATTTCATTACCTACATGCTTTGAGCGTTTAAAATTGGTATTTTAAGCTTAACATTTAAAAGAAAATGGCTACAAAATTGTTTTTATTTTTATAAATTTCTTAATGTCATTGCTATTTTTAGAATTTAAAGCAGTTGTCATTCATTTGTCATTTTAATATGTTTTTATAAGCGACACTCAATAAAGGAGATTGCTCAGCTTCCATACATGTTTGGCCTAAAGACCAATAATCATGAAAAATTGTTTCCTAGATTCGAAATTATATATAAATTACTGTAGAAACGAATATTATTGACGGACACCCCTGAGAACTTCTATAAACCGTATACACTGAACATATTAAATTAATAAAAAACAAATAAGTTATATAGTAAACTAGGGAAATCAAGCCAAGTACCGAAATAATGGATTAGATTCAGGTATATAGAGCATGTAGATTAACAGATAGTTGCCTGTTTTTAAAGTTAATGTATAAAAGTCACTTTTAAAATGAGGTGTCATCTGTCATGGTGTCATCTGTCATGTCATGGTCACGCCATAAAACAAAACAAATTCCCGGCGCGGATGTGCGATTATATACAAGAAGAAAACACAAAAACTAGAGGGAAACTGTGGGAAAGGGGGTACCTGTTGGTTTGTTGGGCTGGTTCCTTGACGCCTGTTCTTCCTGTCCTGGAAATGTTCGCCTGTGGCGCGCCACTATTTCTTTTTTACACTAATGTTCGCGGGATGTTCGCGGGCCCCGGGGCGGAAATATGTGTAGGCGAAAAGCGTCTCCGGAGCGCGGTTTTTTCTCGTCGTGGGAGTTTCTTGGTGTCTCCTCTCGGCGATCAGAGCACACACAGACCGTTGCCCTTTTTTCGTCCGTTGGTTCGAATTGCAGCGATGGCAGCGCCGCGGACGAAGTCGACAACAGGTGAGTTTAGAGGAAGGGATAAGGTAAATGTGTTTTCGCAAGCTTACGATAGATGGCGTTAACATATCCACCCCCCCTTAAAGGGTCACCTTTAAAACAATCATAATAAAGGCGAGAATAACAATAATCTAAACACTTACTTGTGTTATAGCGAATTAAGCGGAATTTACTAATTGACTAAAATATATATACTTACATACATTAAACTACATATTATACTTAATCTTAAATTATTATTCTAATTTTAGTGTAAAGTGTAGTTGTGATAAATATGTTATTGAGTTGGTAAAGGACATAAACGAACAACCGGGCGTGTATACGTTCCTCGAGGGGTTCTGACAGTAGCTACGCGCACGATACCATCCTTAGAAGGGTGAATTTTTTCTACTACTGCCAGAGGCCAAGAGAGAGGTGGCGCATTATCTACTATTATGACCACTATCACGCCGAGGGTGATAGGAGCGGAGAGCGTATTCCACTTCTGTCTAACTTGAAGGCTGTGGAGATATTCTACACTCCATCGCTTCCAGAACGACTGTACCAACTTGTCTAATAAAGAATGTCTCTGAAGTAGAGAAACGTTATCTGTAACCTCAGGTGCGGGTAGTGACGGTAAAGGGAAATTATTTAAAAAATGGCTGGGAGTCAAAGCCGTAGGCTCCGAAGGATCCGAGCTTAACACGGTAAGTGGACGCGAATTTAGTAAACATTCTATCTGTGTTAAAACCGTAAGCAATTCCTCATAAGAAAGGAGTTGCTGTCCTATTACCTTATAAAGGTGATTCTTTATCACTTTCACCATGCTCTCCCAACATCCACCAAAATGACTAGCGGAAGGGGGGTTGAACCTCCATTCTATTTGATTCCTCGAAAAGAAATCTTCGAAATATGAGGTTTGATTGCGTAAAAATCGATAAAAATCTCTCAAATATGAATTCGCGCCGACAAAATTCGTACCATTATCAGAGTACATGCATTTCACGGGACCGCGACGAGATAAAAACCTTTTAAAAGCTGCGAGAAAGGTAGGAGTGCTTAGGTCGGTTACCAATTCAATATGAACAGCGCGAGTCGTGAGGCAAGTGAACACGCATATATATGTCTTTTCGGATCGAACACCTCTACGGCGGACTGGCGTATACGAGATGGGGCCGGCGTAGTCACATCCCGTATGCGTGAACGGCTTTATAACGGGACGAACGCGGAAATCGGGCAAATCTGCCATTAATGGAAGGGTAGGTCGTGGTTTGGCGCGGAAGCAAAGATTACATTTATGTATGCGCTGGCGTACAATGCGGCGGGCGGACATGATCCAATATCTTTGTCTGAGCAAAGACATAAGCAGTTCGGGCCCAGCATGCAGGTATGTACGATGATAATAATCTACGATTAAATGCACTATATGATCGTGTCGCGGTAATATAAATGGATATTTTTGAGCGTACTTAAGGGCAGAATTTGAAAGCCGACCACCTACTCGAATTACATCGTTCTCAATGAACGGGTGAAGTTTATTAAATGCGGGTGAACAAGGTTCAGCACTCTTAAGCTTTGAAATCTCGTCAGCGAAATACACGTGCTGTAACACTTTAATAATTTGAACTTCGGCGAAACTCAAATCGGCCGCCGTAATAGTTGCGGATGCGCGGCGTTGCAACTTTCTCGCGAATCGAAAAATATAAACTGTTATACGGAGGAGTTTGCTCCATGATGATTTGCGAAGAGCAAGAGCGTAAATTACAGACTCCCTAGCGGGGGCGGTAGCGGTATAAACACATAACTTCTGTTCCGGCACTTCGGAGACGGAAGTTAGAAAATCTCCATCGTTGAATGGCCAAAGTGAACAATCGGACAATAGCCACGGTGGACCATGAAACCAGAGGGGATGCTTCACTAGTTTCTGTGGCGTTAGGCCACGCGATAAACAATCAGCGGGGTTTTCGGACCCGGCGACGTGATGGAAATTTTCGGCAGGAATATTTTCGGTCACTTTGACGACACGATTTGCGACGAATGTCTGCCAACGATGGGGTAAACTCTTTATCCAGTAAAGCGCTACCTTAGAATCGGTAAAAGCGAAAATATTTATATTTAATGTGGCGGCATAATTATTTAAGACCGTACGCATTAATTTTGCGAGAAGCACAATCCCACAGAGCTCCAATCTAGCGATAGTATGAGGGGTAGTTGGTGCGACCTTAGACTTCGCGCAGACCAACCGTACTGTGATACCTCTGTTAGTTTCTACGCGTAGGTACACTACACCACCATACGCGCTTTCACTTGCGTCTGAAAATCCTATTAAGGAAATGACGCAATTGCCAGCGACGCCGACGTGACGCGGGATGCGAATATCGTTTAAAGCTAGAAGCTCGGAACGGAACTGTAACCACTGTTTGACCAATTCCGAAGGGGGAGCTTCGTCCCAATCGACTCCTAGTTGCCATAAGCGCTTTATGATAAGTTTCGCGTACAACACAGTCGGTGCGATAAAACCAGTGATATCCCACAACCTCGCCACGGTGGATAAAATTGATCTTTTGGTACAAGTGTTATCGGTGGGGACCGATACATTAAAATAGAATTCATCAGAGTCCCTACACCAATATAGACCAAGTATTTTAGAAGGCGCGTGCTTGTCAAACTCAACGGCGGTGGTGAGCTTGTGAGTATCAGGA